GGTGAGATGGGGCGGTAGTTGAGGCCGGATGCCGAGGCCAGAGGGCCTGGGGCGTATCCCAGGAGTCCTCTTGCTGATGTGTATCACAGTGGGCTCTTGAGAGATAGCGGCCTTGATTATGCGCATCAGAGTGGGCTCTTGTGAGGTATTGGTGCTGCACCAAGCTCATTGCCTGGGCGGACCAGCAAAAGCTGGCCGTCAACCCCTGGCGACAAATCACCAATCCCAAGCGCCCAGACGTGCAGCAGCCATGCGACACGTCGATGCGCATAGGCCTGAAATGCAATGACTGGAGCATCTTTGTACCTATTTTGACTGCACTCCGCATCATATACGCAGCCACACTTGAGGGGCAAGGTTGTGGGAGTCTCTGTGACGACGGCCGCTGACGTGCGCAAGCGAGTTTGGTCAGTGCCGGAGCGGGTGCCAGACGGGGCAACGGCATTTGTGCGACGAAATATCGTTTCAAGTACACACCGAGGCTATTATGTTGAGGATCCTGCTCTCTCCCAAGCTGCGCACCGCTTGCTCACGGCATCCGGTTGTTGTCAAAGCGAACGCAACCAGGGAGCACGCTCAACACAGTGCAAGCATCATGGATACGGCCTCAGCACATGCATCCGCCGCTTCCGCCGCGGACGCCGGCGCCGCTGCCGACGCCGCAGCTGCTGCCGACGCCGCAGCTCTGCCGCGGCAGCCGTCCTTCTCGCGGCGCGTGCGCGCCACCGATCCGCCTGTGATAGCAAAAACCAAGGTGCGAATCCTTTGGATCCAACGTTGCCCCGATCGGGTCTGGCGAGGCGCCGTTTTGGCAGTGAGGCGACGCAGCCGACCGTCCCCTCCCCCCGCCCGCCTCGCCCTGCCACACGACACCTCGTTGGGGGCTCCAACCCCTCGTTAACCCCTGCGCCTCCGCCACCCACTACCTCCCACGAATTGGGACGTTCGCAGGCCATCATAGCCGCGTCCGGCCGCGCCGCCGACGTCACCTCATTAGCCCAGGGCGTCGTCTTCTGGGGCCCCCCCCGCGCCGCCCTCCGCGCCGCCGCCGCCGCGACCGCCGCCGCGCTCTCCGACGCCTCCGGCGCCGCCGCAGCCGCCCTCAACAGCTACGGCCCGACCCCAGGGCTTCCGGCGCTTCGTGATGCGCTCAAGCGGGAGCTGGCGGGGCGGGGGTTGACCGGTTACGCGCCTGTGGTGACGCCGGGCGCCAACTGCGCGTTCACGGTGGCGCTGCTGGCCATCTGCGACGAGGGCGATTCGGTGAGATATTCATCTAGTCGTCCCTTTTGCCGGGGTGGGGTTGGGGGGAGATGATTTGAAAGAGCCCTGTGATGCGGCGGCCCAGCGTTTTACTTTGTTCCTTTTTTTGCTGTGGACGTGTGGTGCTGAGGGCGAGGGATGTTTTGAGGCTGGAGCCGTCTAGTTTTTCAAACGTTGCGGTTGGCTCGTCGAGTTCGAGTGACAGGGGTGCCGCAGGATCTGTGTGTGTGTGTGTGTGTGTGTGTGTGTGTGTGTGTGTGTGTGTGTGTGTGTGTGCGTGCGTGCGTGTATGTGTAGGTGTGTGTGTGTGCGTGCGTGCGTGCGTGTATGTGTATGTGTGCGTGTGTGTGTGTGTATGTGTGTGCACGCGCGTGCACGCAGATGCACGCAAGCGCGATGCGCCTTACAGGTTTTTGTGCAGGGAGTTGGGCCTGGGGGGTTTTCCGGCTGTGAGGGCTGCCGGGGTGTGGGATTGCGCGATATTGGAGTGCTCCGATTCCCAAGTGAACGGTGCCGCCGCTGCTAGCGGCGGCGGCGATGCCGCGCCGCGCTGCCTGTTGGAGCCAAGGAGCAGCTGCCTGTGTGCATGGCGCGCAACTCGCGGCGCACCACACACAGGCATGCTCCCCGTCTTCGCCACCAGCACGCGGCACCGCACACCTCATCAGCACAGCGGTGTGGCTCCTCGCCCTTCCTCAACCGCCCCCCTAACCGCCCCCAACCGCTCTGAACTCCCCTCTGGCAGGTGGCGCTTTTCCGCCCCGTCTATTTCAACCACCGAATGTCGGTCCAAATGACGGGCGGCGGGCGGCACATCGTCACCGGGCCGCTGCGCACTGACCTGCGGCCCGACCTGGACTGGCTCGAGGAGGCGCTCGGACTGGGGCAGTCCAGGGGGCGGCAACCAAAGGAGGACGGCGGCAGCGGCGGCGGCGAACGCGGCGGCGGGAGGGAGGGAGGAGGGCGAGCGGCGGGGGGGCCGCCAAAAGTGGTTGTGCTGGTGAGCGGCGGGGCAGCAGGGGCGGCGGGGTGCCGGCTCCGAGCGGCTCGGCCGGACAGGGCACTAATGGCAGCGTGTGACACAGCCACCACTGTTGAGCGTTGCGGCGCTCGCCTCCGTTGCATCCCTTCCAAAATCACCTAGTGTCGCACTGGGACGGCCACCGTCCTGCAGCAGGGCTCAGCTGTAGCGACCAAGGGCCCTGTGGTGCTCAATAAATGGCGGCCACACCACCGCAACCGACCGCCGTACATTTTTCCGCCTCCCGGCCGCCAGGTCAACCCGGCCAACCCCACAGGCGTGCTGCTGACGAGGGCCGAGCTAGACCGCGCGGCGGCGCTGACGGCGGCGGCGGGCGCGTGGCTCGTAATCGACAACACGTGAGTGCGGAAAGCACACAAAAGCCGCCCCGGTAAACCCTACACCCTGATACTCTCAGGCTTCAGAGATAAGCCGGGCGGCCGTGGGCTCCGCATCGCCCGCCCGCGCGCACGTCTTGTCGCCATTTCAATTCCGCCGACGGCCGTCTCGCCACACGCTGCACCTTAAACCCATAACCCCTGGCCCGCGAACCCTGAACCGTAAACCCTTAGCCCCAAACCCTAAACCCTGGCACCCCAAACCCTGTCACCCGACAGGTACTGCGATTTCGTCTTCGACAGCCGAGAGCACTACTGCCCCTCAGGCCCCCACGTCATCCACCTGTTCAGCCTCTCAAAAGCATACGGCATAATGGGGTGGCGCGTGGGGTATATCGCCCTGCCGCCGCCC